CTTTCTTGATTAGCATAATTTGTTTCTTGAATTTTTGGTCTCCTCAACCCTTGAGCAAGATTACGTCTCTGATTTGGATATTGCAACAGCTGACCAATTTTTGCAAAAGAAGGCATTTGTAACAAATCTTGCATGACATTATAGGGGGCCATTTGATCGATTTGGGATGGTTCTCGTTTAACTTTCTTCTTTTGAGTAGGAGTAATAATTTGTGGGATTTCCACTTCCATAAATTCATCGATAGGTTTTCTGCTTCTCAAGTTTAGTTCCCTTCTAGATTCAGATTGTTTCTTTCTTTCTGCTTCTAATTGTCGAGCAGTTTTTCTATTAGTAGTATAAAGTTTGTTTCGTGAAAGAGCATAAACTTCTTCCTCCTCTACTTCTTCAATTTCTTCTTCTTCACTATCTGTAAAAACTCCAACATAACTGGCTTCTCTTTTATCAGATTTCTTTCGATATACTGGTTTTTCAGTCATGCATTCTTTTGAATAATGTCCTTTTTCTTGACAACGATAACAAATAACATCCTTTTTATCTCAAGCCTTTGTTTCCCAAACTTTTGTAGGATTTCTATCATCTTTTGGCTTTCTTCTCTCAGGTTTTTCTTCAAGTTGAGTGGATAACGTATTGGGGAGAGTTGCATAGTTTAAGGATAACTGTTCCATTTGTTTAGTAAGATTATCAATAGCATTATTGTTTCCACTTGGTTGAGTTAGTATAGGAGATTGTTGTTCATAATATTGACCACTTTCAACTTGTTTAGCTGCATCAATAGCTTCTTCTACATTTTTGGGATGACTAAATACTACAAGAGGAACGATATTCTTCCTTAATCCATTAAGAAAAAGTCTTACAATATATTTATCTGGTAAAGCACTAGAAGAGTCAACTTTCTTTAATAATCTTTTAAATTTTCCTGCATAAAAATCCACTTTTTTATAAGGTCCTTGACGAAGTGTATTTAATTGATGATGTCATAAATTTTGCTTTTCTTCAGTTGAGAACTTTCCCATAAATAATGGTATAAAACTTGCGGTAGCATTACCATCTGAACTCTAATAAGTGATAGTATCAACGTTTTCCTCAAACCAGTAAGCAGCTAGTCCATGCAGATATCCTAATACAATTTTTAGCATTCGAGCTTTAGACCAATTATTTGCTTTAGCAGCAATTTCAAAGCTTCTGATCCAATCATTAGGGTCTTCATCATCATTCCCATAGAAAGATTTTACTGTGATAATATTACTTTCTTTTGGTGTAGTATTTCCACCATATCCACCTGACCCAGATGGTGTATTTTTAATATCTTTAGCAAGATCTTTGAAACTTTTTGTCATGTGGTCTATGAGGTTCTTTAACTG